CTAGTCCTGTAAACTACTGGATAAAAGAATTAAATCTTCAGGAAAATGATTGTTTACAGCTAGAAGGAACCCATCACCTTTCAGACAAGCATGTCACAGCTACTGCTAAACTACTGTCAAGACAATTCCCAGACATGCCAATGATTCAGCTGTGTTTGTATACTCAGAAACTAAGTCTCATTCAGCTGGCTACAAATGATTCATTATTTTTCCACAACTTTGGGGACCATTGGGTTACTAGTCATTTTATGGATGGCATTGCTTTTCTTTATGACTCCTTCTACACAGAGATCATTCACTCAGAGTTAAAGTAGCAGCTCATAGCCCTCTATGGATCTGCTATGGTAAAAGTACCGTGGTTGGTGAAGCAAAAGGTGATAAGGATTGTGCCTGCTTTGAAGTAGCATACGCAGTATCTATTCTTTATGGAAATGATCCTGCTAACAATATATTTGATCAGTCACACATGAGACAACACATGATTGAATGTCTCAAAAACATATTTTACATGCCATTCCCATCTATGACATGAAAATCAAGATGCAATGTATCAGAATATGTTACCCAACTACATTGATTATTACAAACAAGTTAACAAATGTATGTTTTTTAATGTTATATTGGTCTATGTAGCTAATTATACTTGCAAAATGCATGGTGGAATGCTAAAGGTGACCAAATAAATGTTGCGTAGCTATCCCATATAGCAGGAAATTTTGGAGGGAGTTGAATTCGGCAAATTACTATATTTTGGGAATTGGCAAATTTTAATTTGGCAAATTTGTGGTCATATACCATTGAGCATGCATATAATGGCTTGAAATGGTGGATTTTATTTTGGAGTTTTGCTATCAAAATGCCAAGTTCACCAACTTCAATTCCCTCCAAAATTTTCCACTACAGTATGTGAGGGAAACAAAGTGCTGTTACATTATGAAAAAAGTGCAGAAGGCACAAATTCTTCCCCATAGTATTATAGAGACAAAATAGTGTAGCAAGCATTAATTCTTCCCTTAAGTATTGTAGGAACAAAATAGTGCAATTCTTCCCTATAGTATTGTAAGGACAAAATAGTGCTTGGTACTAATTTCTGCCTACATAGATAGGTCAAATTGTATATGTGTATAATAGTTCCTAGTGACACCATTATGTAGGAAGGAAATAGTGCATTTGAACACTATTTCCTCCCTCTATAATCATGGTTTTTAAATTTAGTGACATACTCTACCGATCATAAAAAACAGACATACCCCAAGTTACACAAAAGCTTCAAAAACATTTGCAAAACAGCTGATGGCAATTAGATATACAAGTATAAAACAACCAAAGACTTAGCTGTAGCAACAAGTGAAGTGATGCTACAAGTTACAAAAAGTCTATCCATTCAGGAGTCATGCAATAAGTAAAATAGCTGTTTGGCTTGCTATTAATAGTACTACTTCATCTCATAACAAGACTTTTCCTTCAATTCCACTTAACACAAACTGAAATACGTACTTCGTAAAGTTGCTCA